GTACAGTCATAGTTACTAGAGATATTGTCATTGATGAGCATAATTTTCCTTTCTGCAAAGCCTCAACTCCATATTCTGAAAAAGACACTATATCCTCCTTCATTCATACCTCCCCACCTATAGTTCCATCATTTAAATCTCATGCACCACTACATTCCACTGCCTCCACTCAACATACAAACTCTCCAGTTCACTCTCCACTTCCAAATACAAACTCTCCAATTGCCTCGCCATCTCCAAACAGAAGTACCTCTTCTGATTCATCTTCTCCTATTCAATCACCACACTCAACCACAGCTTTCTCTAACTCCACTATACCTCTTTTTGTTGAGTTGCCAATAGTGAATGGCAATTTATCTAATCCAATTGCTTCTCCTACACAGCATGCTACTAATGTTGCTTCTGCAGATCCACATGTTCACCATATGGTCACTAGGTCCAAAACAGGCTCTTTGAAACCAAGTTTACTCAACTTGAAGAAGTGGAGCCTACTTCTTACACTGATGCTTTATAACATCCACAATGGAAGAACGCGACTATGATTGCAGAATACCAGGCTCTTCTTAAAAATTCAACCTAGTCATTGGTGATTGTCCCTCCTAACAGGTCCATTATTGGGTGTAAATGGGTTTTTAAACTCAAGAGGCATGCTGATAAAACTATAGCCAAGTATAAGGCTAGACTTGTTGCCAAGGGATACAGTCAAACAAAAAACATTGATTTTTATGAAACATTTAGCCATGTCATCAAGCCAACCACCATTAGAATAGTTCTGTCCTTGGCTCTCATTTATAATTGGTCTGTGAGGCAACTTGATATTAACAATGCTTTTCTTCATGGAAAAGTTGATGAGGACCTTTATATAGCTAAACCACCAGGGTTTGGGGTTCCTGGTTCATCTTCTCTTGTTTGCAAACTGCATAAATCACTTTATGGTCTCAGACAAGCTCCAAGAGCTTGGTTTACAAAATTGCAGCAAGTTCTTCACTCCATTGGTTTATATAATTCTAAGTCAGATTGTTCATTGTATATAAGAAATTCCTCTACATCTTTAGTGTGGCTACTTGTTTATGTTGATGACATGCTTATCACAGGAATTAGTGAACAAGAAGTGCGGCTTGTTATACAAAAGCTTCATACTTATTTCTCTCTGAAAGATCTTGGACAAGTTCATCACTTTCTTGGTATTGAAATTTCAAAAACTGTTGCTAGGATTCAGTTATCTCAATCTGCTTACATTAAAGATATTCTTGTAAAGTGTTCATTGTCAGAAGCTAAGCCTCTTGCAACACCTATGTCTTCATCAACATCCTTATCCACATCTCAAGGTACTCATATTGAGAATCCATCTTTTTACAGAAGCATAGTGGGGTCTCTTCAATATGCATGCATAACCAGGCCTGATATAGCTTATAGTGTGAATAGAGTGAGTCAGTTCATGCAAACTCCTCTGTACACTCACTGAAAAGCTGTAAAAAGGATACTTCGATATCTGGCAGGAACAACCAATCATGGTCTTCACTATACTAAACACTGCAGCTCTCATATCACTGTGTTTTTCAAAATCAAACTGGGGTAATGATCTCGATGATAGAAGATCTATCTCAGGTAACTGTATCTACTTAGGGAAGAATCCTGTATTTTGGAGCTCAAAGAAGCAATCATCAGTGTCTCGTTCCAGCACAAAGGTTGAATATCGATGTTTGGCTCAAGTCACAGCTGAAATTACTTGGATAAGGTCTCTACTTGGTGAACTTAAAGTTCAAATGCCTATCACACCTACAGTATGGATAGATAATAAGAGCACTATCTCTCTGGCCAGCAACTCAGTCCTTCATGCGAGGACCAAGCATTATCGAAATTGATCTTCACTTTGTTAGAGATCAAGTCTCTAAGGGTGTTCTCAAAGTTCATCATGTTCCTTCAGTGGATCAAATTTATGATATTCACACAAAGCCTCTTCATGTGCAAGCCTTCAGTCGCCTCAAAACCTTCTTACAGGTTTCTCCTCATTTGGTTTGAGGGGGGATGATAAGATATATTCCTTAATGCAGATTAAGAGTCAAGAATTGCACTAACAATATTTAATGCACGAAGACAAGTGACGTGTGCATGTGTACTGATAGAGTACATGCAGCCGGAGAGAAATCATTTTTGAATTTTGAAATATTGCTTTGATTATTTGAGAACCGTAGGATCAGTATATCTTGTCTATATAAATAGACTCATGCTATTGTAAACCTAGACTATTACTTTCAATATAGCATCTTTTGTTTTCGGCAAAAAATGGCAGTCCACAACTCGATTCTTCTGCTTTCATTTGTGAGCATTTATGAAGTTGATTTCATGTTTCCCAAAACAAATCGAGACGAGATAATTCCGTAACGGAACCGTAACATTTTCTCTACTATATGCTCCGACACAATAGCAATTAAACTAGTAACCGCTATACATTTATTTCAGTTCCAACATCGTATCGTATGAAATAAGAAAAAAACAAGAGAAAAAAAATAGCCCGAAAAAGGCAACGAAGATAACTATATATATAAAAATAAATAAATAAATAAATATCAGGACTAAAAAAAAACTATTCTTACAACAAAAATATGAAAACCAGCGCACATAAAACACCTCCCTCCATTTCCAGCTAATGATTTTCAGCTTGTACAGTCCACTGCCAGTTCACAATTGCGCTTTGATCGATTTCATATCAAGAACTCAAACCTAAGACCAGCTCGAAAACCCCAATCGGGATTAGTGTTTTTATCTTTCAATTTCTTGTTTTCGCCTCCCTTTTCGTGTTAAAAGGGCTTGATCAAGATTAGCTGTGTATTTAATGGAGGGAGGTGAAGAAAGCCCGGTGAGGGTAGAGGGCACGAGAATGAGGATGCGGGTCGATCGGGCCTTCAGCTTGGAGCCCGATGTAGCGGTTTCGTCGCCGGTGACCCGGCAGAAATCCGCCGCCGCTAAACAGTTCATCGAGAACCATTACAAGAATTACTTGCAAGGGTTGCAAGATCGAAAAGAAAGGTAGAATTTTTCTTCTTTTTTTTTTCTTTCTTTTTTGTTTTTTTTTTCTTTTGTTTTTGCCCCTCTGATCGAACTGTGTACTACGGACTCTACAAATGTAGACAACATAAGTTACGAAATTTTGTATTTTGAGGATGTATGTGTGTAAACCAATCCATTTTTCGGTTATATTTTGAGAAAAAAAAAAAAAGGTTTCTTTCATGTTTTGGTATTTTCGGTTAAATTTTGTATTTTATATTTTGTTCAAGTTCGTACACTGTTAGCGCACTCCGTATCAAACTATACGTTTCACATTGCTTGGTATTTTAGGAGGAGTGCTTTGCAGAGAAGGGCACAGGAAGATAAAGTGTCTAGCGAGGAGAAAGAAAGAATGCTAAGGAATTTAGAGAAGAGGGAAACTGAGTATATGAGATTGCAGAGGCATAAAGTGGGGATTGATGACTTTGAGCAGCTGACCATCATTGGTAAAGGAGCATTTGGGGAGGTACTTTTATTTGTTTATTTGCTTTTTTTTGTTCATCCATGTTATAATATCGGCACTTTTCAGATGCTTTATGGCTCGTTTGTTTCTTGATCTGAATGATTGAAGACGGGTTCTTTTTTAGTTTACCTTCTTTTGACGATATTAATTTTCGTGATGCCAATATTGTATATATGTTCGAAATATATTTGTGATTTCGAAGTATTAATGGAAGTTTTCTGTTGATTGATGTAATGGGTTATGTAAAATTTCAGGAAGACGGTGTCTTGTTAATTTGTGCACTTCACACATATGAATGCTTTCGGTACTCACGGTAATGACGGCCTTTGTAAACCGAGTATTTACAAACTTCAATAGAAATTCTGTATTTCTAATTAATAATCAGTTGTCCAACTAATCCTAGTACATATTGATCTGTTCGCAATGCAAAATATTCAAGATTCTACGCTTATGGTAATGCCTAACACATGTTGTTGTTAATGCGTCAATGTAAGTACTTTCGTAAGATTATGCCTTTTCAAGTCGTGGCTTCTTCTCATCTACGCAAAGCTTAATATCTCTAGACTCATAAATGACTTGGTAACGTGATGCAGGTCAGATTATGCCGCGCGGAAACTACAGGAGAAATATATGCCATGAAGAAATTGAAAAAGTCAGAGATGCTTAGCTGAGGACAGGTGAGTAAACAGAAGTCCCGCAAGGAAAAAATAAAAATGAAGTAAATATATTCATATAAGTTACTGCAATGCATATTTATTATTAGTTGACCCGAACTCCTCATAGGTTGAACATGTCCGTTCGGAAAGGAATTTGCTTGTGGAGGTAGATAGTCGGTGCATAGTGAAGCTTTTTTACTCTTTTCAAGATTCCGAGTTCTTATATCTCATCATGGAGTATTTACCTGGTGGTGATATTATGACTCTTTTAATGAGAGAAGACACTCTCTGGAGGACGTTGCCCGCTTTTACGTTGCAGAGAGCATTCTTGCCATTAATTCCATTCATCAGCATAGTTATGTACATAGGTATTGTTTTTTATTATTTCTAGTGAGCATAGTATTCGAGTATTTTGAGCTCATTCTGCTTTCATTGCCTTTAACTTCAATTTTCTCTCCGCGCAGGGATATCAAGCCGGATAATCTGATTTTAGACCGTAATGGGCATCTGAAGCTTTCTGATTTTGGTTTGTGTAAGCCACTGGAAAATTATTCGTCCATGTTACTCGAAGATGACGATTTTATTGCTCAGGATTCTAAAAACGAGGGCGAAGGGCATTCGGCCACAGAGACTGCTCCTTGGTTAATGGCCAAGGAGCAGTTACAACAGTGGAAACGGAATCGTCGAGCCCTTGTATTTTTTTATTAATCTTTTTATCTTTTCTGAAAATCTTTTTTCTTTTTTGTTTTTTATATAGGGTAAAGATTGTGTAGGCTGATTGAGTATGTGATTATCTCTTACAGGCATATTCTACAGTGGGGACTCTTGATTATATGGCGCCAGAGGTTTTGTTAAAGAAAGGGTACGGGATGGAGTGTGATTTGTGGTCTTTGGGGGCAATATTGTATGAGATGCTTATAGGTTATCCTCCGTTTTGTTCTGATGATCCTAGGATGACATGTCGCAAGGTATATATCAAAATTTGACACTACTCCAAATGCCATTCTTTTTCGAGGAAATGGTGTCGTTATCATTCCAGGTTTTTCAACTAATTTCGAAGTAATAATTTTTTGTTGGGGGGTGAAATATTTTAGAAAATCAGGCTAAGGAACTTCCCTGATACGTATGTTATGTTTTATTATTTTCGTCTATTTGTATCAGATAATAAATTGGAGAACATGCTTGAAGTTCCCTGAAGAACCAAAAATATCTGATGAGGCTAAGGATCTGATCTGTCATTTGTTATGTGATGTTGACAAAAGATTGGGGACAAAAGGTGTTGAAGAAATTAAGGTACGTAATGCCGTTCAAGGACAGAGTTAAAAGATTTTCTTGGGTACTCGAGAGAAATTTCATAATGGATATTTTGAGAAATATTACGTATTCTAATGTTTACGACATATCATTTTTGTGAAACTGGAAATTATTTGAATTTCAGGGACATCCGTGGTTTAGAGGCACCAAATGGGACATGCTTTATGAAATGGAGGCTGCATACAAACCTACTGTGAACGGAGATTTGGACACTCAGAATTTTGAAAATTTTGATGAGGTGAGTTAGAGCGAAGATAATTTGTTTGTACTCATAATTGAGTAGTATCCTCGTATGGTTTCTAGTATTTCACATGTGTATTTTTGCCTCTGTTTGCTGTGTTTTCTCAGGTAGAAAAGCCACCATCTAACACGCCAAGAGTAGGACCTTGGAGGAAGGTAAGGAAACTATCTTCCTTCAATTCGTTCTTTCTTTTCTTTCTTCTTTTTTCGTCTTTTCCCCGAATAACTTTGGCCGTGAGTCATGAATGAATCTTTTCACGTTCTACATAATAATACATATGGGGTTTAATTGATGTACATTACTGATCAATTTTTGGGTATACTCTAGTTATTTTAGGTGAATAACTCATTTTCCCGATTTCTTTACTATATGCTAATCTAAGTCTCTTCAAGATAACTAACCAGCCTGCATTTTATGATTCTTTTTCCATGTTACATAAATGAAAATTAATATATCCCTCATTTTGTTGTTCGATTACCTTGATGAACAGATGTTGACATCCAAAGATGCTAACTTTATTGGATATACGTTCAAGAAATCGGATCTCCTGAAATCAGCCGACTCTGCAGGTATGCTATTTTCGAGCTGCATCAGTGGATTTACATTCCAGCCCTAGGTTGATTCACCTTTCAAAACATATATATTAGTCCATGAAATTGTTGGGGTTTTGCAAAAACTTCTTACAGTGCAAAAAATTTATAAGGTTTTGCAGAGGTATAATTCTCCCGAATATTCAATTGATATCAACTGATTGCTATTCAAGAGAACTAATGAACAACTTAATCATTCTTTAAGTTTTTTCGTTTTTTGTCTTGTTCTATTTGGTCGTATCCTCGGGAAAAAAATAAACAAATAAAAAATTATTCGTCCATTATCAATCTCATGCAGGCATAGATATGAGTTTGAATGGACCTTCCAAACATCCATCAGTAATGTCGTTATTTGGTACGCCAATGTTTCGTGTGTTGTTTTTTTTCCATTTGTACGTGTCGGTAGCTTTGTTTTTTTTTAACATTTTCCGATTATAGGCGAAATGGAGTTGAAAGATTCTATAATAGCCGAAGACGACCCAAAGCGGCACGAGTCTTGATTCTTGATTCTCCAAAGAGGTGTGTTATGTGCATGAAGAGGTAATTGCTGTACAGAGAAAATCCGATCAGGTTGAAGCTGGACATAAAATTGTGTGTTCGTGTAAAGTCACTTTTAAGTTTGTTGTAAACAATGTTTTGTAAGAAAAAATTGGTTTTGTACCGATTTAATGATTCTATTTTTCGTAAGTAGAAGATTTAGGAAATTCTCAACATCTTTTTAAGGTGAATGAGAAATTAATTCTAAGTGTTGTATGTTAATTAATTGAGTTTAAATAACTCAAAAATTGTAGGGTTCACAAACATTTTGTTTCAACAAATGTTTGTACAAACTAAACGAGCCATAATTATGCATTATGTATGCAAGAATTGTAGAAGGGCTCGTTGGGGACAAGTAGGAAAAAACAGAACTCGATTTCGAGTCCGTATGAGCTTGTACGAGCCCGCGGCGCACGGGCGCGCAACTGGCTGCGGAGATCAAAGGGTTGCAACCATGGTGACCATAAGATATCTCTTGGCCACTAGATGTATCTGTTCTTGTTTAGGCACGTCCCAAAAGGTGTCTTTTGACATTTAAACCTTTGAGGTGTTTCACTACATCTCTAAATACCCACAAACATGAAATCATTCAACACATAAAATTATTCCATAATCTTTGCATCTTTTTTACAAAGTTCATATCCATCTTGTGTTCTTTGTGTTCTTTCCTATTTTGAGAGTTCCAAAACTTAAGTATTGTTCGCCAAAAGTTTGTGTATTTGAGTTACCACTATACAAAAATCGAAAGTCGTCGTATTTTGGAGGGTTGACCGTGAAGCCGTGGGTAATATACGGGGCTATTTCGTCTTAAAGACGTATCTTATGTGTCTCGACTTTGTTCGTTTTACCCAAATTCCTTCTGATTTCTTAAAGTCATTTTCTTGAAATTAACATACCACAAATAAAATTACAATCTTAAGACGAAATATTGTGAGTTCATATGATGGCAACCGAAGGAAACCAAACAAATGCTCAACCTACCGCTATATCGATGGTAGTTGCTCCCGTCAAGTTCAATGGCTCTGATTTCAAGAGGTGGGAACAAAAGATGCTTTTCTACCTCACAACTTTCTCCCTCTCTCGTTTTCTTTCGGAGGACCCCTTGATCGTTTCCGAAAGTGAGACCAATGTGCAAAAACGTACGGCTTCGGATGCTTGGCATCACAACTATTTCTTGTGTAGAAATTATATCCTTAACGGACTAGACGACTCTCTCTACAATGTCTATAGTCCGATTAAGACGGCAAAGGAGTTATGAAATTTCTTGGTGATGAAATACAAGACGGAAGATGACGGGATTAAGAAATTTCTTGTTGGCAAATTCCTAAAGTACTTAATGGTGGACACCAAGTTGGTGGTTAGCCAAGTTCAAGAGATTCAAATCATCTTTCACGATTTGTTGGCCGAAGGATTGATTGTGAATGAGGGCTTCCAAGTTGCGGCTATTGTTGAAAAGTTACCACCTCTTTGGAAAGACTTCAAAAACTATCTCATGCATAAACGTAAAGAGATGACATTGGAGGACTTGATTGTTGGACTTCGAATTGAGGAAGATAATCGAAAATCTGAAGTAAGGGCCAACCGGAGGGACATCGAGGCTAAAGTAAACTTGGCCGAGTCAAACTCCAATAAGAAGTGCAAGAGAACTTCAAAGGGAAAGCAACCACAAAGGAGCACTAAGAAGTTCAAAGGGAATTGCTACAATTGTGGTAAATCTGGACATCTTGCCAAAGTTTGTCGTCTCCCGAAGAAGGGTAGAGATAGGACGCATATAGCCGAGGATATATTTGTTCCCATTGACTTATCCAAGAAGTTAACTTGGTTAATAATTCACTGGAATGGTGGGTCGATACGGGAGCAACTCGGCATATTTGTGCGGATAGAGATATGTTCTCGTCTTATACCCCTACCGAAGGAAGGAAGCTGTTCATGGGCAACTCTTCGACATCAAACATTGTGAGAATGGGAAAGGTGGTGCTGAAAATGACTTCGGGCAAATACTTGATGCTGACGGAAGTGATGCATGTTTCGGACATCCGTAAGAACCTTGTATCCAGTGCTCTTATGAGAAAAGCCAGTTTTAGATTAGTCTTTGAGGCCGATAAATTTGTAATGACCAAGAATGGTGTCGTCTTAGCGAAAGAGTACCTAGATGAGAGTCTTTTTAAGATGAATGTAATGAATGTTATTCGACAAGAGGCGAAGAATAAAGAAAATATTTCTTATTTGTTGGAGTGTTCTAATTTATGGCATGATAGATTAGAACATGTGAACTTTAACACAATTAAAAGGTTGGTGAATTTAGAATTGATACCAAAAGTTAAAATTGATTCAAACAACAAGTGCGAAACATGTGCTGAAGCAAAAGTGGCTAAAGCACCATTTAAACAGGTGATGAAAAGCATTAGTCCACTCAAGTTAATTCACACTGACATATGTTATTTAAAATTTGTGCAAACTCGAGCGGGAATGAAATACTTCATTACTTTCATAGACGATTGTACAAGGTATTGTTATGTTTATCTACTAAAGAGTAGAGACAAGACATTAGAGACCTTTAAGACGTATACAAATGTAGTTGAGAATCAACTTAGTCGAAAGATCAAAGCGATTTGAAGTGATAGAGGAGGCGAGTATGTAGCCCCGTTTGAAGTGCTCTGCAAAGAGTTTGATGTTATTCATCAAATGACGGCTCCGTATTCACCACAATCTAATGGAGTGGCCGAGAGAAAGAATCAGACACTAAAACAGATGATGAATGCGCTTTTGATAAGTTCGGGCTTACCCCAAAACTTGTGGGGGGAAGGGGTTCTTTCGGCAAATTATATTTTGAACAAGTTACCCCACAAAGGTAAAGACAAAACGCCATATGAGTTATGGAAAGGTCATAAACCTACATACAAATACTTAAAAGTGTGGGTGTGTTTGGCAAAGGTTGAAATATCTAAACCGAAACAAGTTAAAGTTGGACCAAAAACTATTGATAGTATATTTATTGGTTATGCAAACAATAGTAGTGCTTATCAATTTTTTATGCACAAATTAGAAATTTCGGAGATTCATAATGGAACAATTATTGAGTCTTGAAATGCGGTGTTCTTTGAGAATATTCTTCCTCGTAAAGACAAGAAATAAACAATTTCAAGAAAAAAGACATTTGAAGAGGCTGAACTACCTCAACAAAATTGAGGATGAGCCAAGGCGTTGTAAGAGAAAAAAAGTACCTAAGTCATTTGGTCTTGAATTTCTAACTTATATGTTAGAAAATGAACTGAGAACCATTCAGGAAGCTTTGACAAGTTCGAATGCTCCTTTTAGGAAAGAAGCTATCAATAGTGAGATTGAATCCATTATGCACAATAATACTTGGGAGTTGGTTGATCTCCCACTGGGTAGCAAAACTTTGGGATGTAAATGGTTCCTTACAAGGAAGTATAAAGCTAATGGAACTATTGATAAACATAAGGCCCGATTGGTTGTAAAAGGGTTTAAGCAAACAGAGGGATATGATTTCTTTGATATATATTCTCTTGTAATTCGAATCACATCTATACGTGTTCTCATTGCAATTGCTGCAATGCATGACCTTGAGATTCATCAAATGGATGTGAAAACGACCTTCTTAAATGGAGATCTTGAGAAGGAAACTTATATGGAACAACCCGAGGTGTTCGCTGCTACCAGAAAAGAACAAAAGTGTGTCACTTGGTTATGTCACTTTATGGACTAAAACAAGCACTTAAACAATGACACGAAAAGTTTGACAAAGTGATGTTGTCAAACGGATTTAAAATCAACGAGTGTGATAAATGTGTCTATATTAAAGGTAACGTCGATTCATTCGTGATCCGTATGCCTATATGTGGACAACATGTTGATCTTGAGAAAAAATAATGGTTTAATTCTTGGTACCAAGAAAATATTGAAAAATAATTTCGACATAAAGGAGATGGGAAAAGCTGATGTAATCTTAGGGATTAAAATCTCTAAAAGTTCGGAAGGAATTGTTTTGTCACAATCCCGTTATGTTGAAAACATCTTGAAGAGGTTCAATGCATTCGATAAGCCTCCGGCTAAGACTCCTGTTGATTTAACTCAACACTTAGCTAAAAATCGAGGTGAACCAGTTTCTCAACTAGAATACTCAGGACTAATTGGGAGCTTGATGTACTTGATGAATTGTACTCGCCCCGATATAGCATATTCGATGAGTAAACTAAGTAGGTTCACGAGTAACCCTAGCAATGACCATTGGAATGCACTGATTCGGGTACGTAGGTATTTGAAACATACCTTGAGTTTTGGAATAACATATACGAGATATCCCGTGGTACTTGAAGGGTATTGCGATGCGAATTGGATATCCGACACAAAAGACTCCAAGTCCACTAGTGGTTTTGAGTTCACCATAGTTGGAGGAGCGGTGTCATGGAAATCTTCTAAGCAAACGTGTATTGTTAGATCCACGATGGAGTCCGAGTTTATATCCTTGGACAAAGCCGGGGAAGAAGCTGAATGGCTTAGGAGTTTCCTTGAAGATATTCCATGCTGGACAAAACCGGTGCCCGTCGTAATGATACATTGTGATAATCAATCGACAATTGGAAGGGCACAAAGTAGCTTGTACAATGGTAAGTCTTGACATATACGTCGGTGGCATAATACATAAGACTAATGATCTCGAGTGGGGTTATTTCGGTTGAAGTAGATAAACGGGAATAAATTCTAACTCCCACATGAGGAAAAAAGAAAAGGGTCCTACGTGAAGCCAAATGAAACCTAGCGGGTCCGCTTACTAAAGGCATTAATCGAGATCAAATGTACAAGTTGGTTCGGGGAATGAGATTAAAATCCACAACATAAGAACAGTCTTAGCGGTAACCCAACCTTGAGAATCGGAGATCCGAAACCTTGGTTCAATGGAAAAACTAAGTTTTGACAGTTCAGTGAAACACTTGAAAGC